GGGAAAGAAACGCATTCTTAGGTCAAAAGTAGATGAGTGAAGTTTCGAGTAGAAAATGACCGGTGCGTTTGAAATTGATTCCAAAATATTTTTATTTTTTGTATGAAAATAAAAATAAAAACGTTTTTATTTTTATTTTAAAATTATTTTTGAAAATGTGTTTGGTGATATATTAAATAAATAATATTATTAAATATATTAAATAAATAATATTATTAAATATATTAAATAAATATTATTATTAAATATATTAAATGAACGTTAATTTACATGCGAGGAAGAAGAGTTTTAAAAATGTGTTTGGTAGTTTTATTCAGAAATTGATTTCAGTTTAAAAAAAAAAACTGAAACTGCATTTGGTGATTTAATTTTTAAAAATATGTAATAATATATTAAATAAATAAAACCCGTCTTTTGAATTTTTGGTACTCTTCGCCGTTAACCAAAGCGATTCCGACACTCCATTTTGACAGTTGGTCTCGCAGTCACTGCTGAATTCCTCTTCTCCAGTATTTCAAATATCTTCAAATCTTCTCTTCCTCTCTGTTTGCCGAACTATTTCCAGGCTTACTCGACACTATCAGTTATAGTTTCAAAATTTTCCCAAAAACTACTCGCCATGGTTCATGAATCCCATCATCAATGGCTGTAAAGCTAGCCCCTTTAACATTTTCCAAGAAAATCCCCATCTGGGTAAGAGGGAGCGGGCGGGGTGGAGAAGAGAGAGAAGAAAAAAAAAAGATCCGTTTTCAGAAAATTTCAGAAAATGAAAGCGTGAAAATGAAAACAGGTTTTTTTCATTTTCACTTTTTCAGAAAAGACAAAAACATTTTTGTTTTTGTTTTTCAAAAACTTTGAAGCCAAACACATTTTCAGTTTGCATTTTCATTTTTTAGTCTTGAAAAACGTGAAAAATGAAAATGAAAACATAAACAAACAGGCTCGACATGTCCTTTCTCCTACGTAAGTATGCAGTCATTTGTTCAATTGTGACGACGACACGTAGTTGGGAAATCTCGAAACGGAAATTGATGTCGTTTGAAGTACAACCTACGGCACGCTGCTCATATCTCATGATTCGCTGTCGTTGACTTCGTAAATCACATTCGAGTAATTTCAATTTAAATGTAAAATTGAGTCAAGTTATATGTTTATTAAACGCAATTTAAATTTTAAACTCGAGTAATAATTTAAGTTGGTGAGTTTTACTCACTCCTTATTTTTTTATTACTCAAATTTAATTCTACAATGCAAATTATCTCTATAGAAAATGACACTTCTTTATAATTTGAGTTTGATTTTAATACAAATGTACACAAAACTCAAATTTTAAATGTCAAATCAATCTCCTCTTAAACACTTAACTCAAAATTCAAATTAAACTTAAATTTTTTACAATTTAAATCCACTTTCTTAATTCAAATCAACAAATTTAAGTTAATAAAATCAACAGACCCTCAGTTATTTATATGCGATATGACGGCTTATTATTCTAGTTACAAGGAGAAAATTATCCACTGGATTCAAGCGTGCAGTATCGTATAACGGCACAAGCAGTACGCCTATCCAAGAAACAATCATAAGTTGGCGTCGTTGTTGTGGAGATCGACATCTGGTTCTTTGTTGTTGGTAAATTACAAGTAGTTGGTCTTCTATTACAGTCGTTTTTTTTGTAGTCGTTTATAAATACACAAAAACGACATCTACTTTTTTACGTTCGATGTCGTTTTTTAAACAACGTGGCAGGTCGTCTCGGAATTTTAAATTTTCTAATGCGACCAAAGAGCGATTAAAAACAAAAGGCCCCTATTGACGAACAAAACTCGGGTTAACAAGGAATGCCATTTGTAAAGGGTTGTAATTCAAATATGCCATTTTCGTACAACTTAATCCTGATTTTTATATAATTTGATACATGTGAATAGCTATACTTCAAGAGTTACATGCGATTTTATTTATAATATTTGATACCAACCCATGTCAATAGTATAAAACACCGCCTTAAGATCATGTTTGGTGAGTGGAAAAATTGAGAGGGAAAAAATTGGACTTATATTGGAATAGAAAGAGACTTAGTAGGCTCAGCATTTTGTCTTCTTTGGGCCTTTTGGCACCAGAGCTACATTGAGCCCACAGGAGCAGCTGCTACGTAGGCCCAACGGCTCCTTCTATTCCGGCCCTCTTTTTGACCATTTTTACACTTTTTTTTGCCTATAGTAGATTTTTTTTTTTTTGGTTAATAGCCTATAGTAGAATTTTGAAAAAGGGATTCCAGTTTAGTGGCCTATTTTAAAGCAATCTGACCCCAATTTTTTAAAATTAATGCTACCATCGGTTTTAAAATTTTATAATTTTGAAAAGACAAAAAAATCCATCATTTTAAAAAAAGAAGATAAAATAGATAAGGGATATAAAGTTAAAAAGAAAATATAATTGCGTTGTCGTTTAGGTTAGCCCCCTAATAAAAAGGGTTGACAAATACTCTTTAAGGGAACGTTTAGTTGGAGAGAAATAAAAGGAATATAATAGAATGAAATTTAAGTATGATGTTTGGTTAGATTCTTAAAAAGGAATTATCATTCAAAATGAATGGTCGAATATTCACTCATTTTTTATGAATCATCATTCATTCCCCACATAAGAAGAATAGCGATTTCAATATAATCTTATAATATATTTTATAATATTATAATTATATTAGTCATTTTAATAATTTTATTTTATTCTATATCATAATTATACAATATATTATATAATAATAGTCTTATTATATTATATTACATTTTATATATTAATTGTATTGATATATAAAATATTAGTGTTATATATATAACATAAGGATAATTTTGTCAACGCAAAAATATTCATGTTCCATTTCATAGCATTACTAAAATTATAACTAAACAAATAAATTAAGTTTCTTTTCCATTTTCTATTCCTATTATCATTACCATTCACCTACTGTAACCAAACGCACTTTAAAATCTTGACGAAATCATTAACATGATCCTCTTATCTTATGTTTGGTTAATGAAAAGTATTCTAGAAAAACCACACCTATTGCTTAGTATGAAAAACTTCATTTCCTTCAAGTCGGCAATTATCAAGTGTGATTAAATTCAATTAAATCTAAGAATAAAAATTTAGGAACCATCCTCAAAATTTGCAGTGATTAGAAATGAGATATGTGATCATAAGAGAAATCATCAACTTTCAGCAAACAAAACAATAAAAAAAAAAAAAAAAACATATTTGTTAATTATGATTTTGTGAAACGTGGAACTTTCGATGGTTGGTTTGGTTTTGAAATTCAACATCACAATATAACAAGATGCATAATTCAAAATCCAAAATTGATCTAGCGGAAGGGGATGAAATAAGAAAAATAAGGATAAATATTTAAGGTATGTTGATTTTTGAAAAATACCAAAAATTAGTATTCTATAAATCTGTTAATTCGCTCACAAATGCGAGGAAAATATGCACCAATTACTTGTTTATTCTATAGAATATTGAAATAACACTCACAAAATATTATTAATCATCAAAAACTGCTCTTACAAAAATAGTACAGATAAGCTTTAAATAATAAAACTAATAACCTAATCCTACTTCAAATTTAAAATTTGAAACAATTAAAATAAATATTTTAAGGATAACTAGTTCTCTGAAATCTCAAAGCCCAAATATGAATATTCAATCAACATAATTTTAAATTCAAATAATATCTAATAATAATTCAAAATTTAGATAATAATTATTCTAATTCTAAGAATACTTCCAACTATGTCACAGTTGAAAATAAAATAAATAAAAAATTCATGACTTATGATCTTTAAATCCTTTCTTTTTTTTGTTTGAACACAAGTGCGAAACAATTATCTTATCATTTACTAACTTTAAAATTCTTAGGTCTCGTTCATTTTATCGATTTGAGTTTTCAGTTTTAAGTTTTTACAGTAAAAAACTCTCAGAAAATGTTACATCTAACTTTTTCTGCTACAGTGAAAAGCGCTCAAAAAATATCACATTTCAATTCAAATTAAAAATTTAAATCTGTAAAGTGAACGAAACATTAGAGAAAAAATATATCACCCTTTACTCAAAATTCACTCGCTATATGGTTTAAAAAAAACTCAGTCGCTAGATAAAAATAAAAAGAAAAGGATATAAATACAAGGAGTAGATACGATTTTTCTTTCTTTTCAAATTAATTTTTTATTTTCTATGATTTTCACCTACTCTTTTCTTTCTATATATATATATATATACATATA